AGTGATAAACTCTGGGCTTGTCGGCAGATAGCGTATGAGAACTATCTCTAAACGACAAGTGCCATGCTGCCGTAAGTGATAAACTCTGAGCTTGTCGGCAGGTAGCGTATGAGAACTACCTCTAAACGACAAGTGTGGTTCTTCTTACGCCCTTTTCCCATGTCTTACTTTTTTCTTGCAGTACATTACTGTTTTTTAGTCAAAACGTTTTTCAGAAAAATATGGTCCAGATGATCGTCAGAAAGAGTTGTTGATTTTTGTGAAATTTGTATAGCTTTTTTATATATAAAATTTCATATTTGTGCAAATGTTAATGCATAAACTAAAATATCATTAAAGGTTAATTTTTTTGATATTGCAATTTTCTGAAATTTGGATTCAAGAAAAATGCCAATAATATATAGGTTCATTAAATTCTTTTGTATGGAAATTAACTATATCTTTTGCATAATCAATTAACTCATAATCAAAAACTTCAAATTCACTTGATTTTAATTTTTTATAAATAACTAACAATTTGGCATATATATCATCTAAAGTTGTATTATTAGACTCAAGCTCTGCAATTGCATCAACAATATATTGAAGAATTATAGTAAATTGTTCATTTTCAAGAAAATGTCAATGACTTGTAATTATTTCTTTAATTTTTGTTGAAATAGAAGGACATTCGTTAGGAAAGTTAGTACTATACTCAAGACAAGCTTGAAAACCACCTTCATAATTTAGAAAACTTTTAATAGTAAATACTATCGAGTTTCACAAAAAGTTTGCAGCCTATTTTTAACATTATTTTCTAATGCCTATTGTTTTAATTTTGCATTCCAAAAGTGTGAGCTAGTAAAAAAATTTACTAATGCTAAATTTCGTCTAATTGTATTTTCATATTGTTAATATGATGAAATTCCCTTAGAATTAAATCAAAAACATGTAAGCAGCATTTAATACTAATAACATGTTGATATTTATCTGAAATAATTTTTTGAAGTTATACTATAACTGAAGGACTATCTGTAACTATAGTGAAAATTTTACTAAAATCTATAGAGTTATTTTTTAATGAATTTTCTATTGCAATAAGTAAATTATCTGCATTGTATTAGCTATCAGAAAAATTCTCAATGTTGATAATTTCATTAACATCTTCAAATTTATTCAAAAGAAATGCATATATAGAATTACTAGAAATATCTATCTATCTATTAAGTGAAAGAGTCAAATCACATATTTCCTCAATTTGATCAATCATTTCACCTAATATTTGTGCATATTCTGACTGAAGTATTCTATGTATTAATGTATACCTTGATGGTGGATTATAGCTTGAATATAAGTTCTTTAAAAATAAAATAAAGAATAGATTTTCAACAAGTATATAACTAATTAACTTTTTCTAATAATATAGTAGCTTTATCAAAATAATCAGTTATTAAAACTGCTTTGTGAGTAGAACTCTTAATAACTTGTTCAGATTTGTTTTTAATTATTCGAGAATAAAGTATTTTATTTTTAGCTGAAATTTTACAACAGCTATTGATTATATGATTTGCTATTGCTTCTTTATATTCTTCAAATATTTGATCACAATATGTACACTTTGCACTATAGTGCCATGCTTTATTATTTATAAACTCCTTTGAACGCAAAAAGCCTGTCCAATGTGTACCAAGATTCTTAGGTGATAATATAAAATCATTATTCAGATCTAAAATATCAGACTCAATGATATCTTTAGAGTTCATAATATCTTTAGAATCTATGATATTTTCGGGTTCCAAAATATTTTCAAAGTTCATAATTTAAAATAAAGGTAATGATAAGAAATATTATAGATAGAAAAACGAGAATTTAAAACAATAAAGGTAAAATTTTTATATGTTTAAATTATATTTAAATTGATTAATCAGATAATGTTTAGAGGTATTTAGGTGTTAAGAACTATTTTCTTTTAAAGTATTTTACTGCACCTTTTTATATATTTTCATTAACTATCTTCGCTAGCTATTTTATCTCTTAAAACTATTACTCCTTGATATTTATTTCTCCTTAATTACAGTTCAGTTTGGTTTTTTTACTAATCTAGAAAATCTAATACAGTCTAAAATTAAAAATGAGAAGATAATATAATATATGCAAGAATTGATTAAGACACAAGACAATTAATTGTATGTAGTCTAGGCTGAATAAAACTAATGTAATAAATAGCGAAAGAAAAAAATTATGAAACAAAATTCCCTTTTGTAAGCATATATGAACGATTTTGTAACTTGCATAACACTATTCTGATTCTAATTAGCCATTTTTTTTGTCTTTATAAATTTTACTAAAAGTAATATTACTATACATAATATTTATAAAGCTACTATCAAAATTTGTGCAAGAATTTAATTACAGAAACTGCATTACAAAAGTTAATATTTGATTAATTACTAATGCAACGAAAAATATAAGCACAATAAATGTTTTAAACTTTTATAAATATTATCATTTGATGCATCTTTGTTTTGCAAAGATCAAGATCAACCCTTAAACAATACTGTGATAATAGTCATACAAATCTCTGTAATTATTGAAGAATTTCTAATATGTACATATGTACAATATACACATATAAATATCTACCGTACCGCACTGCCTTTAGTACCCCCTAATGCAATATCCCTTATCGAATTATACCCGGATACATTACCAAAAAAACTTTCGAAAAAATTGTATAAGACCCAGGTATTAAAATTTCAGGTTGATATATTAATTAAAATTGATTTAATAACAAAGCCTACCTCCAAGTCACAGTACCCTCCAAGCATAGTACCCACTCTTGGTTAAGTATCTATGGATATATTGTCATGTATAGTACCCTTTATTTTTTATAATACCCGGATACTAGAGGCAGTGCGGTACGGTAGTTTCTTTTTTATATTGTAACCTTTATTATCATAATATATAATATTTTCTCATCTCCATAATTATTACTAAGTCGTTACCTTTTGTGAAAAAATAAAACAAGAGTTTAAATCATATTACCAGTTACTTATATAGTAATTTTAAGTGACAAACTTATTAATTTACCAATTATTTGAGATACTCGTGACGTGTATGTGCAATCGTGAACTGAATTCACAGGCAATACATTGTTATAATCCCAAAATAGGGAAGAAATATTATTATCAGAAATAGAAGAATACTTATCTAGATTCCTGAGCAAAAAAATGGGGTATCTTTATAAAAATGAAGAAATAATAAGATCGCAAAGTCAAGAATTATTAAATAGTTTTGATTTTTTTTTTATAATTTTGATTAGTAAAGATTTAAAAATTATCATATAAATTACCAAACTTTGTCAAATATATAAAGATTTTAAAGCATGAATTTTAAAATGTATATATCATAATAATTATTCTGTATCGAAATATAATGTCAATTCAAAAATTTTAAGCCAATCAATGGTAAAAAAAATAAACAAATATTATTGGCTCGCCACTCCTGCACCATACCCATATTGGCGCACCAGGTGGTGCACCATATTGGTGCACCATTGGCGTCGCCAAGTACCTTGCACCACCCACTTTACTCAAAAGTCTCACTGCAGTATCCTTTTCAGTGTTTACAATAATTAAGAATATCAGCATATCGGTTCTCATTTTTATACTCTTTTGCAATCTCTAATCTTCTCTTTCTAATTATGTAATCCAATTTTTCATACAAATAGTCACGATTTTTCAAGTAAGCATTTGCTTTATCTCCAATTATGCTTCATGAATGTGCAATTAATATGAAGAACATGATATTCTCGACATGTTTTACAAATGCTTTGAAAAATTTATTCCCATCTTTGACTAATGTATTAGGATGCTTAGATTTGGCAGTACTTTGCATCTTATAGTAGGAAGCAATTGAATATGTACGTTCACCGGTGACTATTATTGCAAAAATATCATTTGCAAATGCACGAAAGCATGCCAAGAAGTCTGTTTTTAAAGTCCAATTTTCATTATTATTATTATTATTATTATTATTGTCTGAAATGTTTTGTTTTCCAACTGACTGCCATAATTCTTCAAATAAATTATTTGTAATGTCTTCGGTAGATCATTGGATCATCCAATGTTTTACAATTATCTTTGTGCATGTATATAAGTACTAGTTTCCTCACCTTTGAACTCTTCTACTAATAAAGAGAATTCTCATGAATCACCCCTCCTAATAAATTGTCTACATAAATGCCCAAGTATCATGAATACATAATAATAAAAGTGTGACCTATAGTTGTTAAACGAAACCTTTTTTGCTTGGTGACGAAAGACGAAACCTAAGCCCCCAAAACTACCTCCATCAATTTTATATTCTTTATTAATAATCTTATTTCTGCTTCTTTAATTTTAAATATATAAATTTTATATTAAATAAATATATATCATTTAAATAATAAAATTATAATACATACCTGCTTGATGTGAAGATTTAAAAAAATTATATAATATATTGCATTTTTTTATTAATTTATTAGCCTACTCATTTTTTAAAATATCTTGTGCAACTAGATTTATTGCATGTGCAATACATCTAATACTAAAAATATATAGATATTGTGCAGTAACCATATTTCAAGCAAGTTTAATATTAGCCCCATTATCACTAACAATAGCTACAAAATGTTCTACTCCGATTGAATCCAAAACATCTTCAATTTTATTAGCTAAAAACTTTGCAGTATGACTTTTATTTGAAAAATCACAAAGTTTATATAAATATTCTTTATGCTCTGGTGTAATAACTATAAAATTCCAATAAGAATAATTTTTTTTACTACTCTATCCATCTAATGCTAAATTAATAATTTATAAGCTATTATAATATTTTATACAGATTAATTATGAAAAATAATAAATTATAATAAATATAGTTACCCAATGTTAAATTTGAATATTGTTTAAAAATTTTATCCATTTTTTGATTAACTATTGCT